AAGCAGGACCTGCCCTTCATGAACCCATGCTTTTCCAAGATGTGCAATAGCTATGAGTATCCCATGTCCTTCGAGCAATTGCTGAAGGACTTTCTGAATGGAGAGTGTGAGGGTGGTTTGGGGCTTACTCAGGGCATGGGGATGGGTGGCGTCTTCCATTGCCTCTGGATCAAGGATCTTTTGCTACTGTCCACTGATGATCTTGATGGTCTTAGAGGTCCTTTCTAACCTTAATGATTCTATGATTCACAGATGGCTGTGAAGCCAGGCTTCCCACAGTAGAGAGGTGAATGGCTCAGGAGGAAAGCAAAGCACTTCGGGAGAGACTCATATGTCCCCAAAGCCCTATTGTTCTTTGAAGCAGATGGAAAGTAGATTTCCCTGCCTTCTACTGCAGAGTACAAATGTCTTCAGGAAGTCTTGGCCAAGAAACTATAAAGCCCTGGCAGGACTTTACCCATGAGCCTTGCATACCTCTAGCCTCAGCCTTTTCCCACTGCGGCGGTGGCTGGAGAAGAGCCCATTGCTCAGCTGCAATTGCAACTAAGCCTGCCAGTCCTACCTGCTCCCTGGACACTGTTGCTCTGTCCTGCATCATGGCTGCCCAGCTCCCAACCTTGTGTGAACCCTCCTTGGCCTTGCATGTCCCCTGCCCTACCCTGACCTACAGCCTTTTACCTCCCATCAGTGCCCCGTGGCTCCTGGTTCGAATATGTCCAAGGCTGCATGGAGATGAAGGACATGGAGAATTTCATCACCTACGAAGAGCTGAAGCAGGTAGACACATACGCAGACCCTCCAGCTCCAAACATGCTGGTGTGTCACAAGCCATTCAGTGGTAACAGACTCCGTCTGTCCCTCCACGACCTGCCTGGCAGTGTGAGACATCTCTGCCAGTTCCTGGGGCAGGATTTGGATGACGAGGCCGTCTCCTCAGTGGTACAAAATGCCTCCTTCACAGCCATGCAGGAGAACCCAATGTGCAGCTCCATCCTGCTCCCTGCAGACATCACGGACCAGACAAAGGGCCAGTTCCTGAGGAAGGGTGAGCAAGGGGGACCCCATCACAACACCTCAGGGAGACCCTCCGTCTGGTGTCCTCCCCCATGAGGACAGCCAGAGCGAGGTCATTTTGGAGGGCTGCATCAGAGTGCATTTGGGTCTGAAGAACAGGGTCCATGGGCATGGTCTCTCTCATTTTAGACAACCCTCGTGGGGTGGTAGCTGGACCCAAAGCTGAGCGTCTCCTACCTACAGAGCAGTGATGGGGGCTGCATGGTGGAGTGGGCTCTGAGCGTGAAGTGCTTCTTCCTCAGGCATCTGTGGAGACTGGGAGAACCATTTCACAGTGGCGCAGAGCGAGACCTTCGGCAGGATCTACCGGGACAGGATGCAGGGCCTGAACATGACCTTTCCCTGGGACAGGCATTGGGATTTGTCCCTATCGGGAAGTAAGCTACCCACTGGGGTAGCTGAGCACTGGGTATAAACCAGCCACCGGCAACTGGGGTAGCTGGCTGCTGTTGCACAGAGAATGTTGTACCCAGGGTTACAAATGGTACTGAACCTGGGTGTGAAAGCAATTAATTTCATAGAATCATGACATCATTTAGGTTGGAAAAGACCTTTAAGATCGTCAAGTCCAACTGTTAACCTAACACCACCAAGTCCACCACTAAACCACGTCCCTAAGCACCACATTGCACATCTTTTAAATACCTCCAGGGATGGTGACTCAGCCACCTCCCTGGGCAGCCTGTTCCAATGCTTGGCAAACCTTTCTGTGAAGACATTTTTCCTAATATCCAATCTACACTGCCCCTCGCACAACTTGAGGCCATTTCCTCTCACCCTATCGCTTGTTACTTGGGAGAAGAGACCAACACCCACCTCACTACAGCCTCCTTTCAGGTAGTTGTAGAGAGCGATAAGTTCTCCCCTCAGCTTCCTCTTCTCCAGCTTAAACAACCCCAGTTCCCTCAACCGCTCCTCATCATGTTCTTGTTCTCCAGACCCCTCACCAGCTTCGTTGCTTTTCTTTGGACACAGTCCAGCACTTTCTGCTGCATTTTTGCACCCTTTCTCCTTGGGAGAGCTTTTTCTCCTGGGTTGTGCCTTTCCTCTCTGTCCAATTCCTCGAACTTTTTTCCCCCAAGACAGTCTCTAAGGTCTCCCAGGGAAGGACCCACCTCCCTGCCCTCCAACACATTCCTCTTCTGCAGGCACAGGAGAGTAGCACATGCCTGAGAGCACACAGGTGAAACACATCCTGCCTGTCACATCCACTGGCCAGGGCATCTTGTCAGGGAGCTGCGATGAGCCAAAATGTTCTTTTGGGTCTGTTCATCAAACAGCAGCGAAAATGGGGAGGACCACTTGAATGCAGTGGTGTTTCAGGTGTGCTGCCAGTGCTAGCACAAATGATGACATTAATAATAATCATCATCATCATCATCATCAAAAGCAGGGCTGGCTGGCTGCCAGACCCCAGGGGTGTAGAAGCCCAGTCCATCCCTTGCACAGGATGGGTTGAACAGCAGGGTAGCAAAATACCTCCTCCACTTTCCAAGCCAAGAATGGGAATTCTTCAAGTGCATAGGACATGTCCAAGACAGACATTGTACGGTCGGCTCTAGGGCCAGGGGTGCTGTACAAGAGTTTAGGAACAGACAAGACAGACATTACCATTTGTGTAATGGTGTGCAGACAAGACAGCATTACCATTGCACCTCTCTTGATCCAGCCTGATAGAGCCTAAACCAGGTGGTGGGTTTCAATGAAGCAAGGCCAGTTGTGCAAGACGTGGTGGAATTTAGAAGCACAGCCTTGTGCTTGTGCTGAAAGACGTGTAGTGCAGGATGGCGTCTCCCCAGGGACCACCGCCACAAGCATCACAGGTAATGAGAATTCTGTAAGATGTAGGTGATTCTCCCCACAGAAGGGCTTTGGGGAATCAAAGAAGGGGAAGGACCTTTGTGGACCTTAGCCAAGAGATGGCTCTATGGTTTGTGTACCCCCTAGCCTCCACAGAGCTTGCAGGGAAGCCCAGCTCCTTCAGCTGCCAAAGTATTGCTTGTAATTAATGACAGCCTTACTTCCTGATAGAGGTAACCAGAGACACCAGGGGATGGCTCTAGGCTTGGCAAGACACTGTCCAGAAAGAGAAAGTTGTCCCAGGGACAGCGAGCAGTGCCACGCTTGGCATGTCCATGTTGAAGTCTTGAGCAATGTCACAGCCAGAAGGTGAGAGCTAACGCCTTCTAGCCCTGTTGACAATGAAGACTGGGCCACCTGTATTGCACACCCACTCATGCCAGATGCATTCTGTCCGATGACCAGGTCAGGAGTTGGGAAATAATGAGAAAGAGTGTGTGACACAGCATTGGATGGTACTCCCCAAAACCACAGTCAAAATTGTTTCCTCTTGTATAAAACGCAGTCGAATGACCCCATTCATGTGTTATGCTTCAGATGTCTGAGTGCCTTATTGAAATGTTTGCCTTCAAGCTGTATGTGGCTCATTCTACACCCAGCATGACATTTCCCTCCACCTGTCACCCTAAAGTTTGAGGTTTGGGTCAATGCCTCAGCAAGGCTTTGTAAGAACAAATACCATGGAGCTTGGTGCAACAGCCCTCACACACCCTGCCAACCCAAAGTATGGGGAGGGGAAAAAGCCAGGGTTAAAGGAGAGTGGAATGTGGGAATGGACATGGAGAGTTGTCAGGTCCCCAAGGATCCTAGCACAGGACTTTTTGACAAAAGGCTAGGCCATGTTTAATGTCTTGAAGAGGCGAAAATACTACTTTGTACTGTGTGTATCGATTAAATCATCAGTAATTATAAAAGGAACCCTGAATGTCTACTAATCAGATGTAGGCACTGACACTACAGACACCCAGGAAAGGGCTCAATTGCCTAAACGTAGACAGTCATCCACTGCAAGTTTGAGCTGGGGTCCACGGTGCCATGTTCAACACAGCAGGTCTGATGATGAAATTCAACAAATGATTGTGTTTTCATGGAAATAGAGGTAGTGATATTAAAGCTTGATGAACACGGTAGGTCTGATGACAAAACTCAACAAATCATTGAGTTTTTACCTTAAGAATGCCAGCAACATTAAAGTTTACTCCTGGCATGTCTGAGAAAGTGATATTATTAAAAGGCAGCATGGGCACTGCTTACCTTGGAAGAGATTGAGTGTCTTGTTAAATAAACAGCAGGTCTTGGCTGCTCCATGTTGAGAACTGACTGACAGCGATGATGCTAAAGCAGCCCAAGTCACTGCCTTCCTTGATGTGCATGCACAGGACCAGTGTATGGCTGAAGGAAAATCAGGAAATTTGGGTTATCTTCACAGTGTCCTGAGGCAGGACTGTGTTTTCAGCAGGTCAGTGGGGAGAAAAGAGGAATTTCTTTTTGAATTTTGAAATTTTGGGTACTCCAAGTAAAAGATGCTGGGAAACTCCAGAACATTGCAGGAAAGTCACTGTGCGTGGCAAGAATTGTCTTATAGTACAAGGGATACCGCTTCATGTGTGGACCCTCCTGGACAGTCAGTTGCTCCAAGCCTCCCTACATGGTCAAAATTGCACTTTGATCCACGCGATCTTAAAATAAATGAGTGAACGAATAAATGAATGAAAGAGGGAGAAAGAAAGAGAGGAAGAAAAGAATAAAGGAGGGAGGGAGAGAGGGAGGGAAGGGAAGGGAAGGGAAGGGAA